CTAACTGAACTAGGCTAAAGGCTAAATATTTTTGTTACTATAAAAAAAAGCAAAACGATGGTGGGGGCCGGTGCTGCGGTAGGCAAATGACGTAACCGTTGTTGCGGCTTAACACTCAACCGAAAACACAGTCTATCGCAGCAAGCCTATTTTAAATCATAACTTTTATGGGGGGTGAATTTACATTTATAATTTTCAATTTATAAAATCTATTTATTTTACATTTATTACAGTATTTAATATTAATTTCTAAACTATTAATTTATTTAAATATGATTTACTGCAGAGTTTTCAATCATATAAGTTTTTTGTTTAACATTATTTTTTTTATTTTGCAATACTAGTGGCTGAATAGCAACAGGAATATAAACCACGTGACCTCCATCCACAGACTCAACAAAACACACACACACAGAACAGAGTGGTTCACACCCAACTCTTCACAGGAAAATGAAGACAAGGGCAACAAATCACTAATTTTACCCTTCCCGGCTGGCTAGAACTGTACATTTTAAGTGTGTGATAGAGAGACGGGATATCCTACACAAAAAAGACAAGTAGCAACTATAATCATTTAAAAGATGTTTGTGTACAATTTCTATTGATTATGGCAGCATTTAATTCATCAAATGTTCACATGTACCCAGATGTGCAGTGCAGTCACACTACACACTTTCACACCCTAATTTTAGCTTTCTGGCTTGCAATGGAGGAGCAATCAATCAGAATGTGGCTGTCTGCTGCATTCTCCACAACTTAGAACTCAGAACTGACCCACAACTCCCGCAATTAATTCATAGTGAACAAATAACATGTTTTTAAAAAATGTAAAAACAAAACAAAAACCAGACACTCCAAAGGTTGGCCAGTCACTCACCTGCTCCCCAGTAAAATTCTGAATAAATGTCAGGTTTGTTGCGTTGATCACAGCCACCTACAAAAAGAGAAAAGTCTGATTATATTAGTGCTCATGAAACACTGTTTCCATTCATGACAGACTGTCATGATTCTGATGTACTGCAGGACTTGTGTATTTGACCACATGCATGTCCTCTACTCCAAACCAGAGTGATTTTTCTCATGTTAGGTATTTAGCACTCTAATAATTACATCCAGAATAATCTTAGTGGATGTTTTATGGGACACGTATGACTGAGATCCTAAATCAAACAGCCACATATGGCTAATACCCAAGAATATAACATGCAGTAAAGAAAAGACCCAAATTCACTGTCTGCTTCACAAACCACCCATCCAGCTGAATATGATTCTGTTTAATTGAGGGCCAAAGGGGACACCCCTGCATCCTAGATGCTACAGCCCTAATTGGGAATTCCTTCTTAAGACTGCAAATCACATCCAGATAAAAGACCCAAATTCACTGTCTGCTTCACAAACCACCCATCCAGCTGAATATGATTCTGTTTAATTGAGGGCCAAAGGGGACACCCCTGCATCCTAGATGCTACAGCCCTAATTGGGAATTCCTTCTTAAGACTGCAAATCACATCCAGATGAGAAACTCGCATCCACTTACACAAGTGACTTAGAGGTTTTACTTTAACCAGAATAACAGTCTTTGCAAAACATACAGCCTTTCTTTGTTTATTTGAAAAAACTAATGTTTCAGTTTTAGTACAAAAGTGGGCTAACCTCTCAAACGTTTCTCACATTCTTCCTTCCCCCTTGACCTTTACTACTGACCTTTGATTCCATATCTTACCATGACAGAAACACAGGAAACAAATTCTGTTTAGGACTGTATACTTACATAACCAAAGTTGTGTGCCCCTCGAGGTACCCCTGCTACCAGTTCTGCATAGAGGACATAAGAAAGGCATACAGTAAACATACCTGAGATATTTATATATGTGCCAGCTGGTTTTAGACTTGCAGAGTTCGAAGAAACAAATTATGTGCTTCAGTACTCAACAATAATAAAACATACACTTTTCTTGTTTTGAGAAGAGTATGTATGAGTGAACATTTCCACACTGACAACCACTTATCTAGTGCATCCCAGGCAAAACAGTGAGGTGAGACGTGTGAGTGTTGTTAATCTCTTTTCTGTCAACACCATGCCAGTCACTCATTTATTATAAATATTTAGAAGAGAGAGACAGAGAGGAGAAAGACACATAGTGGAGGAGACAGAGGCTGTCTGAGGTCTGATGGATGATCTTGGAGATAGTCATGTGGTGGGAGAGTTTGTGGCTGTCTGTCAGATCTGTCCCACCCACTGAGATCGGAGAGGGACCGTTCAAAAGTCTGTCTCGTTTCCAACTCGAAATCTCCCAGACTCTCAGGGACCCATCACAGCCGGTTCATCCTCGACCCTTCCCCACACCACCTCAAATTTCCCGCCTTCCTTGACCGCAAAGTGCGCCACAGCAAAAGCCCATTTATGAAATTCTGACAAAAAGAGATCAGCATGTCTCTCCTCTCTGGATTCACCACTAATCCAGACCAGATAGAACATATGTCTGAGAAAGACAGAGAGAAAATTCTGGGAAGAATGAACTGAAACTGCCGATAACGTTGATTATTTGTGCATGCTGTATGCATTGTTTCAAAGTCTGATTCGCTAAAGGAATTGTGCAAATCAAGTAACAGAGCACATATACCCCTCGAAATGGTGTTGAACACAATTTTGTCGCCATTCCCCATTTTGCAGGTCAGTTTTGTGGATGACACTGCAGACTACTGCAATCTGCCATATTCATGATCACCATATGATAAATTACTCGTCATTTTTACAGAAAAAGACAAAAAATTCTGCAAAACCTGTTAATACATTACCAAATACAGGGAAAAATTGTTTCCTATTAACATGGCATTATATGTAATTTTACAATAAAATGCTGTTTGGAAGTAAAATTTGGAAGTAAAATCTTTAAATTACAGTACCATACAATTTACGGTGAAAAACAGTAGAAGGACAGTCCCTGTCAGACAAATCACATGATTATATTTTATTTAAATAGTTTTGTTTCTTCTTATTTGTACATTGTACATAAGCAGCTTTGCATAAAATCATGATGTTAATGTTTATAATATCTTAATATTGCAATGCCTTATAGTCACATTTAGCAGATTAGAGCTGGGTGATAATATGATATGTAGCTGATAATTATTGCATTATTTAGTTAATGTTTATTGCATTATTTTAGTGTCATATGTGTTACCATGATGGTGTTTTATCACCCTGTGCAAATATGAAAGTATCATTTAAAAGCAAGTATGGGCATGTTTTATGGACAGGCCACTTGCAATGAACTCTGACTCATTATGTGGTTTTCTATTGTGGCACCTGTATCAGTAACATATAACGTTATATCACTTAATGAAATATACAGTCACCAATATACCATCCCGCAATATTGGAAACACTGTCACAGTATTTTACAGTGAATTTCCACCTTAACATTAACTGGCCTTTTTACAATGTAGAAATTGTAAACAAACATATTTTTAAAATTAAAATGTGTACTTTTCCATTAGGTGCACTCTATTATATGGCATAATTATTCACACAAGATGTATTTTAGTCTGTTAAAGCTGAATTGTAGGCAGTTGGTAAATAAGATGCAAGGTTGTGTGAACGGTACAGTCTGATGGATAGGTATGCTAATGATTGCTTATGAGTCGATGTGGGCGCACACGTGTGTTAAAGAGGTATGACAGACTGCAGATGGGCTGTTAGTCACTGGGTGGCATGTCAGGGACAGAATTCTGTGAGTACTCTGTAATTATGGTATGAGGCTGAAGGGTCCGATCAAAGCTCAGTAAGTAACAAATCCACACACAGAGACAGAGCTCTCTCTCTCTCATGCACTCACATTCATACACAAAACTCTACAAAAGATGCAAAGCTTTGTTTGTGTGTCTGAGATAGAGGTCTGCTACATTACAACATGTGACAAACTGGAAAAGAAGATATTTGGATGAATTTGTTCACACATACATTTCTAAACAACACTGGAGCCCATTTAGACATTTTTCAAAATATCTTCTGTGTCATGCAGGTTTGGAATGACATGAGGGTGAGTAAATGATTATAGACTGATCTTTTTTGGGGTGTATCGTTCACATATATAAAAGGTTTAAACGTTCTTACCTTGTTCTGAATCACCTGTGAACTCTCCGACCGCTACAGAGTAACCTACCAGACACAGAAAGAGAACATTAGAAAATAACTGCGAATACAGTTATTGGAATAGTTGATGCAGCTAGCCAAAGTGGGTCAGTTTAAAAAATGATGTTTACTCATGTTGGTTTTATCTCGTCATTTTATGATCGATTGCATTATTATAATGACAGACCAGCTGTGATGATTATTACAGCATACAAGGGAAAATGCTCATAGGCTATACAAATGTGTATTTATGGAATATTTGTGTGTATGTGTGTTTTGAGGTCTGCAGTTCCAGATGGAAATGTTTTCAGTAGGCACAAACTCTGCACCAAACTGAGCATAGTTTTTAAGTTACCTCAACATCCACCAAAAGAAGCTTGTGTGTGTGTTTATTAAATTGACTGAGGGCTGGTCCTCTGACCCATAAACAGGGCCCCAAAGAAAATCGCTGGTGTCCCATAAAGCATCTTTACCTTTCAAAGGCAAACACACACACGTCTCTTACCTAGGTAACTGTCATCATATGCGTCTGATGCAGCCACAGTCTGCTTCTCTCCCTGAACTTTACGCAGAATAGTTTTCAGAGAATAGCCGTTCAATATTTCTGCAACTCCTGCAGTGATCACTTGACCTAAACACACACAAATACACATTAGTTTCCACATAGGCCTACTGATTTTGTATCAGTGTGTGTTGATGTGCATCACAGACATTGTACAATTGTGGTGGCAGATGTTGTTACATATTTTCAGACGGCAAAACAAACTGTAAAGTACAAAATTCCTACAGAAATCATATGCAATAAAATATCAGGAATAAAAACAGCAATAAAGTTGTTTTTCCACATATATATATATACAGGATGCATATATATATATATATATATATATTCTAAAAGAAAAATATTGTTTTCCTCTTAGAATCTTTTGTGCCATTTTCTTTGTATGTTTTTAACATTTAAAAATGATTAGTTAAATAATTATATTCAGTTACAATAGTGTAGCGTCTGGACCACTCAAACACACAATATATATTTTGTTAGCTAGATTTAACAAATACTCTGTAACACCCCAGGAAGCCGAACAGGCCCCTTGTATAACTGGAGTCACTTAATCATGCAGATTTATGCTACAAGCTTTTGTAGAATTGTACAGTAAGAAAGTTATTTCCTTTAACCAGGAAATTAACGTTCTTAGAATTGACAAGACAGTTGACCCTGAGAGGTCAGCTAAATATCTACAGCGGATCTAAAATATTCATAATTAATTATAACTAGTTATGATTAATTATTCATATTTCCCATGAGCTGATTCGTTACAATAGTCATAAAATTATATTAAGATCAATTATATCTTTTTTGTAATATCGTTCTAATTTCTTATATCTCTCTAAGATTAATTATTGTGACTCTGAAATAATTTAAGAAAAAATTAATATATAATATCTACATAATCACTGCTATTGTAGAATGACCCATTAATTGATGATTTGAACAAAGGATGGAAGCTTAATTCTGAACAGGCAGAAAGACACCAAAATGAAAACATTAACAACTTCTTTCCAAAACGGTCAAAAACTGCCCATATTCAGATTTGTCATTCTACATTACACAAGCACTGAGGAAAATAACACAGATGCAAGTTTTCATATTAAGATCTGAAATGATGAAGGAAAGAATGTGAAAGAGAGTGGGAGGAATGTCCTCCATTTTTGTTGTTCAAGTTCAATAAAAACATTACTCTCTTTTACTACCAGGCTACAGCCTGACCTGAACCCCAACCATTAATCTCTCTTAATGTGTGTGTTTAGCTGTGTGTCTGTCTATTCATTTGCATTTGTTTTGTGGACACACATGACACAACATGTGGTACTTTTTCCCCTCACAGAAATCTGTTGTCTTTTCCTCCAAAAAATGATGAAAGGCAAAGGTTAAGTTGGACTGAGTGTGGGAAAAGAGGAGAGGAGAGAAAACGAGAGGTAGGTCATTACTTCTAATGCATCTGTATTTGTCCACTGCATGAAGTATATGACAGAGAGAGTGAGACCCTGTTTCGGACATTAGATTTCTGTGTCTTCTCAAGTCATCTGTCTCTCCATTACAAGCAAAAACCAAGAACACATGTGAGACGTGACGTGGAACCCAATATTATCAGTATTTATTAAGGGCTGTGACTCGGAGTTCAGGCTGTGTGGGGTCTGTAGATTGAACAAATCTGTTTTCATCTCTTAACATACGACTGCAATTACACAACAATCAACATCTAGCATTATGATCCAAATCCATGCACATAAAAAATCACATATACATCCAGCCACAAAATATTTAGCTGTGGCTCATTTGGTCATTTTTTAGATTTTTAGGAGGAGCAATGTCCTCTTTCACTTCAAGCAATACAGTTAGATGTATTCATAAAGATTTCTCATGCCTTTTGGATTTGACACATGCATTTCTGTTGCTTCTTCAGTCATTCAAGATGGTGGAATAAACACTAATTATAAAAATTATTTATACAATTTTTAAAGATGCTGCACTTCCAAAAGACAGTTTATGGCTAATTAAGTATATTAGAGCAGAACATAAACATACAAAAAATAATCAACTATAGAAATTTGTAACATTTTAGGTCTTCAGAACTGTTGGATTTTTTTTTATTTCCATAACTTTTTTTTTTTTATTATTCCCTTATGTTTCCTGGTTACCATGACCATGTGAATCTCAATACACCACATACAATCTCACACTCATAATAACTAGCTGATCGAAATGTGTTTTTCAATGATTGATTTTGATACCAATATCGAGCTAGCATGAGTCGCTATAACGAGTAATATAATACAAAAATTAGAATTTAGAAATATTATAATTGCAGTAATTATAACTAAATTATATTATTTAACAATACAGAAATTAAACATTTCAGGCAAATTAAATAAGCATTTTATGCAAAATTCAATCAATTTAAATTTGTAAAAAGGCACTGATAAAGCAAAGTAGATTTTCAACTAAACTCAAAGAGATCTGCCAGTTTTGTTAATCAGCCAGATGAGTCGATACAGACAGTCTCAAAATGGCCAAACACTTGCTGATTTATTTATCCCCAACATAAACACCGCTAAACATACGCATGTGTACAGATTTCTGCATTCTCTTTAGATATATTTCATTGCCAATTGTGCAGAACGTATAATTCAGGCTAAAAGTGAGGAAGTGCAGGCGTTGGTTAACCTGCTTTCACTGGAGTTTAAAAGCGATGATTACAGCTCTAACGGTGAGCCAACGTTAAAGCCACTGACCAGAAAGTGCAACTCATTGACCTCTCTCTGTCTTCTATTATCACGACCGCTATATTACCGCTATCACTGACCCATCTGTGATGAGTGAACTGTGGCAGAACACTTCACTGAGGAGTGAATGGCGAGCTCTGATTGGCTGAACTGACTCAGCAATGGTAGCACTAACACACTGAGATAATCCCTGATTATTTTGGTAACGGGACTCATTAGGAGGTGATGTGTCATCATTCTGAGTGTATGTTTTTCTGCTCTGAAGGTGGAGGAAGGGTCAGCCTGGTCAGTTTGTTGGATGGAACTGAGATTCTTGGGGTCCTGTGAGACTGTGAGTCTGCCAATCTCACTCAGAGAGAATTTGTAAAAGGATGGAATGATGGAAAAGACTAAATAACGAGGATAAGTGTGTTACCTTGCCAGTAGAAACTCCCTGGCCCTCCCACAACCAGAGTCCCTTCCTGAGAGATGGAGAAACAACAAGTGAGGAAATGGGAGAGAAGGTAGAAATGAGGACACAGGCCTCAAAAATGTGTTTGTGTTTATTTCTGTGGGTTTGCTTGTACATTTTGAACAGGATTATGGAGCAAGCAACTGACAAGAGTACTGATTAATTTACACACAAGAGTGAGTATAAGTAGAGATAAAAGAAATAAGGCATGAACATAAAGGAATCAGCCCTCTTCCTGACTAAATGAAGGGTCAAAGTGATACATAAAGCAGGGTCTAAAAGTCATTCTTAAATTTAAATCTGGAATTGAATGTTTTGAGATTTTGAACAAAAAGCAGGACAACACATAACACAGGAGTGTGTAATCATAAAGATGAAACACACAGACAGGGTTTAGGAGGGAGATTTGTTACCTTAGTGAAATCAACGCTGAAGCCCGCCTGGCAGAAGCCCTGGCCCTCGGGGTCCGGGTTATCTACAAATATCAGAGCAACTTCAGTATTGCAAGCCACTAAAGACAAATTTGTAAAATATTTATGTAAATGGATGATGTGATGCAATGAAATGTAGACTTCACAAGTTCACACTTCATATTATTCCCGAATAAGATTAGTGGCACCTATGGTCCTATCCCTGTATTTAATTCCAAACACAACCATGCTCAAACCAGGAATGGGACAGGAATGTAGTTCCAGGACCAATGTCCTGTGTGTAATTGCTATAATGTGTCGTACAGTCGGTGGGGAGGGTTAATGAGGCTGTCACGAATCCGGTCCATGAACTTTCCATTTCATTGACTCTCGCACTACACAAACTGTTGCATAGCACCCCGGACTACATTTCCCATCATGCATTGCACTGATTGCACTCAGCACGAATTGCACACACCTGTTTACACTGATTGCACCCAGCTGTTTCATATCACTCCCTCACTATTTAACACTCACTCTGATCCCTTCCCTCTGCCGAGTATTGTTTCAGCATTTATCACTCCCCTAGAGATAGCTACCTTACGGAGTCCTTGTCATTGCCTTAGCCATTAGCCATTAGCCATTAGCCATTAGCCTTAGCCTTAGCCTTAGCCTTAGCCTTAGCCTTAGCCTTAGCCATTAGCCTTAGCCTTAGCCTCAGTCTTCTCGGTTTCTGATCTTCGCCTGATTCCCTGGATTCCCCCCTTTTGTCTTGCCCCTTTTGATTCTGTCTGCCGATCGTCGACCTGCGCTAGCCCTAGTGTCACGAATCCGGTCCACGAACTTTCCTATTCATTGACTCTCGCACTACACACTGTTGCACATCACCCCGGACTACATTTCCCATCATGCATTACTGATTGCACTCAGCACGAATTGCACACACCTGTTTACACTGATTGCATCCAGCTGTTTCATATCACTCCCTCACTATTTAACACTCACTCTGATCCCTTCCCTCTGCCGAGTATTGTTTCAGCATTTATCACTCCCCTAGAGATAGCTACCTTACGGAGCCCTTGTCATTGCCTTAGCCTTAGCCCTAGTCATTAGCCTTAGCCTTAGCCCTAGTCATTAGTCATTAGCCTTAGCCCTAGTCATTTGCCTTAGCCTTAGCCTTAGCCTCAGTCTTCTCGGTTTCTGATCTTCGCCTGGTTCCCTGGATTCACCCCTTTTGTCTTGCCCCTTTTGATTCTGTCTGCCGATCGTCGACCTGCGCTAGCCCTAGGACTATTCTTGTGTTTTGCCCACCATATACCTGTCTGCCATTATCTGACCCATGCCTGCTGTATGACCACGTCTCTGTCTTCTACAATAAAAAAGCTCTGCGAATGGATCCGCAAGTCTCACGTCTCGTCAGCCCCGTAACAGAGGCGGAACATCACTTCCAAATCCCAACCCCTGTTCTTGTCATGTTCTCTAAAAATACAATAAACACTCTCTCTCATTCCATCCCTGTTTCTCTTCTTTCACTCCTCTGCCAGACTTCACTTAGTATTTCATTTCTCACATTTTCTCAATACTACTGTCTTTGCAAATGTGTGCACTCATGCATACATGAGTGTGTCCACTGCTGAGTGAACACAAGCTGGATTATATCAACACTGGACATCTCTGCCCCGAGTCTTGGCAGGGACTCCTAGCTGACCTGCCAGGGAGACGGCTGGCATTTGAAATTGTTTGACAAAGAATGAGGAAAGTAATTCACAGTCATTATGGCTTCATGTATCATATAATAATTTCCCCTCGGAACATAATAGGCACAATTATCATTATTAATATACCACTTCACTCTACACTAACTGTTAATACACACTGTCTCAGTACGTGTATGTGCGTGCTATGTAAATCTAAGAGAATGTGTGTATCTGATATGACGGCAAGAAATTAGAGTAAATTTATCAACCACCATAACTGTGAATGAGACTTTAAAGTACAGGAAATTACATTAAAATAAACATGCAAGTTTCTCCTTTGATCTTTGTTTACAGCAGGGCATATAATTGCCATGGCAACTGGCACAACTGGGCAGCCCTAGAAGCAGCAGACAAATCTGTGATTCTGTGTGTAAAGGAGAGCTGGCACGACAAGGAGAGTCGTGGGGAAGTCGTGGCCTAATGGTTAGAGAGTAGGACTCATAACCCAAAGGTTGTGGGTTCGAGTCTTGTACCAGCAGGAATTGGAGGTGGGGGGAGTGAATGTACAGCGCTCTCTTCCACCTTCAATACCATGACTGAGGTGCCCTTGAGCAAGGCACCGAACCCCCAACTGCTCCCCGGGCGCCGCGGCATAAATGGCTGCCCACTGCTCTGGGTGTGTGTTCACGGTGTGTGTGTGTGTGTTCACTGCTGTGTGTATGCACTTTGGATGGGTAAATGCAGAGCACTAATTCCGAGTATGGGTCACCATACTTGGCCACATGTCACTTCACTACTCATTTTTGCTCGTCGGCTAGTCATCGGAAAAAAAGTCAACTAGTTATATGTAACCGTATGAACTTTAATAAAGCTTAAACTTAAATTTGCAAGTAGTTTAAGTTAACTAATTGTCACTGTTTGTGTGTGTGTGTGTGTGTGTGTGTAGTATTCATCCAGACTACACTTGTGGGGACCAAATGTATAGTAGTATAGTACAAGTATAGTAATACCAGTAAATTTTGACCTTGTTGGGACATTTTTTAGGTCCCCATGAGGAAACAAGCTATTAAATCATACAAAATGAAATGTTTTGAAAATCTAAAAATGCAGAAAGTTTTGTAAAGTAGTGTAAGGGGATAGAAAATACAGTTTGTACAGTAAAACATTACGCCTTTGGAATGTCCCCATAATGATAGGAATACCTGTGTGTGTGTGTGTGATATACTCACTGGTTCGACACGGTGAATACTCAGCATAGGCACTAAAGTTCTGCACAGCCACATAACAAGTTCCCACTGGATCCATCTCACTGCTGACCTTCACTGTCCTCCAGTGATAGAGGGGCGCACAAGCCTACAGAACCACACAATCACCATGTTACTGTAAATAACAGCACTGATAGGTGTAGATCGAACAAAAAGACACTCTTTAGGACTGAGCTGGAGATGAAAAAAAAAATCCCATCTTCCGTAATTTTCTGAATAAAAGCATTTGAAAGAGCAAAATGTTTCCGTATTTGATTGTTTGGAGAACAACAGTCACATTTGGGAACCGTGCCTTCCCTCATGTAATAACTCTGGGCTTATTCTTTCAAACATCAGCAGTTCTCCACCTCGCATGGTCAACCTCAAATCAACATTTTCCAAAACCCCTTCAGTAACAGGACAGAGCCACATTTCCTATCAAAACATTTCTCCAAAACACTCCCATGCATTCATGAATGAAACTCTGATTCTGGCTCCCATGTATTCATGGATGAAAGACTAATGCTATTAAACAGCATTAAACCCATTAAAGGTGACTTGACTTGACTTACTGATAAAGAGTAGAGTTTCCAACCGCATCCACGAACGCACAGAAGCATGCATCCAGCATGAGGATGACTGTAAAGGGTCTTTAACTGGATTATGATTCTGAGCATCACTTACCACCACTTTGCCTTTGTGGGTCCTGACTGTGGCTCCAAACCACTGATGGGATTTAAATTCTAGAGGCTCCCGTGTTCCGTTCACTTTAATCATCCGGTTATCTGGACAAGAGAGAGAGGAAGAATGAAAGTTACAGAAAAACAGAATAGGACTTCATTATATAATAAACTTATAATGAAAGTTACAGAAAAACAGAATAGGACTTCATTATATAATAAACTTATAATGAAAGTTACAGAAAAACAGAATAGGACTTCATTATATAATAAACTTATAATGAAAGTTACAGAAAAACAGAATAGGACTTCATTATATAATAAACATAACACTTTGCGAACACTTGTGCCAAACTCATTTTGAAGCAACATGAACCATGAAACAGCAAATTAGGTTTCAAATGAGTCTGAGAGTGTTTGTTTATGTGAAGGCACATCTACAGGGGGTCGTTCTACTCAGTGTGTGTACACACAGCTACATGATTCTGTGGATCTGTGTCTATGGGGTTCTGTGTGATCCAGAAAAGATCTCGCTACAGCTGGGCCTGTTTAGAGCTCCATAAGGTACAGACTACACCTCATAAAAACACATCAACTCTAATCCTTCTCTGCTTTCTTCTCTTCATCTCTCAGGCCTTTACTATGGGCCTTTTTCTTCATGCTATATGTAAGTCTTCTAAGATTTTTCAGTATTTTGAAGTCATGTTCTCTCTCTCCATACAACTTTCTTAAAGGGGTGCTATTATGCTTTTTCACTTTTTCAACTTTAGTTAGTCTGTAATGTTGCTGTTTGAGCATAAAAAGATCCGCAAAGTTACAAAGTTCAAAGTCCACTTCAAAAGGAGATATTTTATTTAACAGAAATCACTTTTCAAAAACTACAACGAACGACTCGTTTGGACTACAACGCATATTTTCCGGGATTTGTGATATCACAAATATCGACGAATGGGACGAGACCTGGTTGAGCTGTACTAGAGAAGGCAATGAGTTGTATCACTATGTCGGAGACACGCTAGCCTTCCCAAGGCAGACGAACTTAGAGTGGTTACAATCATCCGGGTTTAAATCGCGCTCAAATTGATTTGATTTTGGCGCAATATTTACACTGACGCTCGCAGGCGGCTATGATAAGGAGCATGATATTTCCCGACCAGGTGCTGCCAATCACAGCACACACTGGCCCAGCTAACCAATCACAGCACATTTCGTATTTCAGAAGACGGGCCTTCATTTGATTCAGGAACTATTCGAGCCGTTCATGCCAGACTGAGGAGAGAGGTGTTGTAATAATGTAAAATATGTGAAAAAAAACTATGTTTTTCGAACAACCTAGTATGAGAGCCTGTTCTAGTACACCCCCAAAACAAAATCAAGACTTTGTAAAAGAGCATAATAGGACCCCTTTAAAGAATCATTAAAGGGTTTACTGTTCTCTGAGGTCCACTTATAATGGTATCACAAGTTTTACACCAAAAAACATCAGAATTTATAAGCAATATGTTACTTTTCTGTCCTGTTTTGACCCCCCTCATCGGAACGCTCTGTTTGAATAGGTGTGGCGGATTGTAGACTCGGAAGTAAACGCCCACTGCTATGATTGGTTAACAGTTATGTATGTTTGACAGCCTACATCCTTCACAGATGAACGCTGCCGTGATTCAGCTTAAAATGCATAAATACTCAGTACATATCAAACGATCTGTAATAAAGCAATAGTGAAATCGAAATCCAATATAGTCGGCACAGCATCGTTTTTTAGTTTCAATGTTCTGAAAATCCTGTGTCGAATTGTGCCTTGTTTGTAAATGAATCCACGGTGAAATGAAATGAACAAAGGACCAAGTTCTTACTGACTCGGTTTGGAACTTCATTAAAAATAAAGTTAATCCGCTCTTTCCTAATGTTGGGATCAGAAGGAAGGCAATGCAAAGAGTGTGGCACTGCACAGCGTCTTGTCTTCGGAGCCATCTTTATCGTTTGGTTTCTGTGTAGACCTGCGTTTACCTCTCTCGCTATTTACACTACATGCACGAATCGGTGGGTGGAGCTAAACAGGCAGTGTTGTACTGTCGAAGCAGATGTTGATCTTCTTCAGAGGAGGTGGTGTTTAGCCACACTTTTACGTCATAGAGCGGCACATTTCACAACCTGTCGTTTTGGCAGATTGGCTTCTATATAGGCTGATTTTAGACTAATGAGAAAGTTTGAGTTCTGAAACTTGCAGGATGCTTTTATAGTACAATGACCTCTTACATGTCAAAAGATCAAGGGAATTTTGATTTCTCAGTTCATGATCCCTTTAATGGTGCTTTTACCAAGGCATCACCATTAATACTGTGAAGACGAGTGAAAGATTTCGAACTCTAATGGCATGGTAACACTGACCGTTATTCAGTGACCTTTCTCCGCTGAAATCGAGTCATTTCAATAAGAGTCTGTGCAATTGTCAATCTGGTCACACAAAATTTGCTGGGTTGACCAACAGAAAGCTGCATGGTTACACTATTGGCTACAATATTGACAATGGACAACTGACTTTTTTGCCTAATGTGACCACTCTTTAAATATTAAACTTTGGGACAAATGACATAGCCTGTCCCTCGCTGTTTGTGCTATGAATATGTATGATACCTTAAACTATGCAGCTTGTTGAAAAGAGTCTGCTACTCCTTTTCTAAAAAAAATTTTTATTTATGATATTCACCTGGCAATAAAATTCTGTAGATTTGCTTTGGAAGACAGACCTGGGACTTGGGTGCACTTTTTTTTTTTACTTAGGACAGCCAAAATGCATGGCAACACTTTAGCAACCAGCCAAAATACCCTACCAACACCCTAAAACCATCCAGAACACTGTATCTGTTGCACAGCATGCCCTAGCAACCACCCACAAGATGTAGTAACCACATAGCAAGCACACCCTGGGAACCTCCTTGAACACCCTAGAAACTGCATAGCAATACCCTAGCAACCACAAATCAACACTTTAGCATCACATGGTGACTTTTGCACAGAAAACACACACAAAAAAAAAAGTGTATCCAAAAGGGCCTCATGCCAAACATTTTTTTCTTGTTATTATATGAAAGTTTAGCTACAATTTGAGTGTTTATATTATGCTTTGCTAGCCTATAAGTACAATATGACCATGCTGCATAGTAGGAAGTTACTGTTGCTGAGTGAGATCAGCAGAATGGATGAATACTAAATTACACTAAACAGACAAAAACATACTCATGCAGTACTATTTACAACTTATAAACATAGTGAGACTTAAAACACAGAAAAGTATGAAACAGACCAAAAATCCAGGACATCCTTCTTAAATGAACACATGTTCTGGTGTCACAGACTGCACCAAAATGCAAGGCCAGACTCACAATATAAAAACACAGCAGGGCATCATTTGGTGCTTTAAAACATCTGTTTCATTTCTGGGTTCAAAACACATGCTTGTCATTTTTCTTTTCATTTAATGCATTGATATAAATGTGCTGTAAATGATTCCTCCTGTTATGAATGAAAGCTCCTATAATAGTAACAACTGTGATCATTGTAAACGAAAGTGACCTGTGCTGCTAAACAGTCTGGACTTACACATTCACTCATCTCTGATAATCTCTCTGATATATATATAAATACTAACTACATATTTACCTCAAATCTGTGGAATGTCTAAAAAACCTGGACATGTAACAGTGAAACTGTGTGTGTGTGTGTGTGTGTGTGTGTGTGTGTGTGTGTGTGTGTGAGAGAGCGAGAGAGAGAGAGAGAGAGAGAAAACTTGCAAGGCAAGGACCATTGGTATGTGATCCTGTCTGGTGTATCTAATGAATTTACTCTTCTCAGTCATGACTGCATTAGTCACACACAAACAGGCTGTCATCAGAAACGTCAGTCGCACACACATGTGCCATGCCCCCCATGGAGGGCTCTGAGGGCCCCAGTGGGAAGAGCGCATGGGATCAAAGGTCAAGTGTGTTAAAAACAATGTGACTGAATCTGGAAACGTGTGTGTTCGGTGTAGATGTTGGAAAAGCATGACACGTTTTCCCAGACACTAACAAAGAACAGACATCGCTTCTGTCCTCCCTCGTCAGAGTTTGGTCTCTTTCCTTATTTCCCTTGTGTTCACAGCTCTTTTAACTCTCTCTCTCTCACACATATCTCTCTCTGCCTCTCTCACCTCATCACCTTCAGGCTCCTTTTAAAACCAACCATCTGAACCAGAGCACCTCTGCTTTCATCTCCAAAAGATTATCTTCAATGTCAATTCCTCACGCACACTTCAGTACTTCATCTACAAATGGTGATTCTCAATGGCTCACCTACAACTGGCTGAATATGATAATGCAAAAATGGTTTCTTCCTCAAATAAAATAAAAATAAAAACTATTGACAAAACAATAATGAAATAATTGTAAAATATATTATAATAATGACAATTAATAATAAACAATGACTATTATTAATACTAATATAATCTAATAATAATAAAAAAAAATTATTTCAGTATTAGTTGTTCCAAAGCCATGCAAACAAATGATTACATCCATTTACGTTTTTTTAATGTCATAGACTGATTAAATGAAAAATTCTAAAATAAATCAGTACATTCCGATTCCTTTTAGCTGAAGAAGAAATATGGCTTTTATCTTTTATTCCATTAAAAAGAACCGGTTCATAAAATTGATTTGTTCGTGTTTCCGACTATACTGTTCGAGCTGTCATTCATTCGGAAACCGGATCATACTGTTCGCCTTGACTGTATTTGATTCACTAAAAAGAACCGGATCATTTGAGTCATTTGTTTGAGAATCGGACTACATTGTTCGCCCTGTACGTTTAAAAAACCGGCTCGTACGAGCCATTCGTTCAAGAATCAAACCGCACTGGCCGAACGGTTCTCTATTTGAGAGGTCATGCAATAGCCTGTTCTGATAAGAGCCTACTTTATAACCAGGAAAGCTCCCTCTAGAGAATGCTATGAATAACAGCACGAGACACTGACGAAACATCAGCGCTCAAATTCCGCTGCATTCAAGTCTGTCTCCAGTCCACGCCGCGTTTCTGAGTCCAAAACCGACCACTGCATTTACAGGCAAGCTCTGGCTCCTAAAAATAGTCCAATAATGTCATAAACACTCCTGCAATTTCCGTTCCAGATGACAAAATCGATCCAAATGTGATGTTTCGTGACTCTCAAAAGCAAACTTTCCTTTTTCTGGCACATCAAGTTTGATTCCACAATACCTACAGACATCATCTACACCTTTTCCCTTGTTAAATGAATTAGACGACACAGACAGCAGAAATATTGTGGGAAATGGTGAACAAAGAAATGTAAATGTTCAGATAAAATGTTCTGCTGATCTAAATAATAGACGCGCGTTATGGACGTCTAAATTACGGCATATTACGCACCGAGGTAAAGTTACGCGCTTTCCCTGGTAATTACTCCGCTCCTGAAATTTTAAACCAAACCATATGCGGTGAAATTAACTCTTTCCTGGATGTGGTTTTTGATCTTTTTATTGGAGGAACAGGAATTTATGAAGCCTACTCTAAATATGTTGCTTGTGATATGTGTTAGTAAATAAGATAAAGAAACAACATAGCATGCGTTTCTAAATTATTTGCGCATTATTTTAAATGTAAGAGTTTAAATTCAACACAGTAATTTAAGGAAATGTATAAAAAGGCACTTAAGAAGACATCGTTAAACCTGAAAGGGGCTAATCGTTTCATAGAAACTGTTCTGAACTCTCTGGATTAGCTGACAAGTTCTAAATCATGAGGGTACCTACTTGCTTTATCAAAGGGGATCTGACGGCAAGAGTCTGGGTCTGATGCCGGCCAGGGGCAGTAGTACACCGCTCCTCCCTCCACAATCCCTGGCTGAGAGGTGTTCGCTTTAGGAGCCCCAACCAGCACCGACATGCTGGAGAGAGAAATGCATAAATCTACACACAACAGCATCCCACTGGATCAAAGGAATATATTTAAAAGTGACAAAATGAACGCCAACAAAGTAATTCAAATGTGAGTTAGCCTATTTTAGTTCAGCTTTCCAATTACATGTACTTCAATATTAACCTCAGGCGTCGGAGTTCACTGGTCCATACTGGTGGTGCTGAAAAGGTTTTTGCATAAGAAGCTGCGTCAAAAGTCTCGAATATTATTGTAGGCATAACCAAACTAAGTTTGTTTCTGAGAAAGTGGTTATTACGACATACACTGGAAGATGCGTGTGTGTCGGAGCTTGTCAATTTTATAAAAACAACAAAAGGTTTTTTTTTTTAATCTCACTTACGCGTTTCTATCCTGTGTTGGGTGGTAAAAGTCCAGTGAGTATCCAAAATAGCTTCCCTCTGGTCCATTGTAAACCGTTGGCTTTTCCAAATCCAGGTTGAAAGCAGCAGCTTCGCATAAAACTGAAAATATGAGCAAAACCCCATGAAAAAACACGCGGAAAAAACAAGGGTGCATGGCGTCAGCCCGGTGCCTCCAAATATAATCCAAATGTTCTGATTAAAGATGTGCAGACAGAATGTAAGGTGTGTCCGCGTTCAGCTGTCAGAAATTGAGTGCGCGCTCCATGCGTCTGCTGCTGCCTTTTTGCAAGCTGCGCGCCTTTCTCTGCGCGAGCTCTCTGCGTACTAAACATTATAATGAGTTGCGCACAAGACCGGACTCCGGCACCACATCACACAGCATCCGGCCAACTCCTTTTATGGAAACACACACACACACACACGCACTCAGGTTTGTTTTTGTGAAAAGTGGGGACATCTCATAGGCGTAATGGTTTTTCTACTGTACAGACCGTATATTCTATTGCCCTACACTAACCCTACCCCTAAACCTACCCCGCACAGGAACCTTTGTGCTATTTCAGATTTTCAATACACTCCATTCTGTGTGATTTATAAGCGTTTTGAAAAGTGGGGACATGGGGTAATGTTCTGAAAAGTCACCTTCTCCTTGCAATTCTCCTTGTAATTCCATAAACAAATTCCTCGCATGTATAAACATACCTGGCAATAAAACTCATTCTGATTCTGATTCTAATACCTATGTCATACCTTTGTCATTATACAAATTTATGTCCTCATTTGTCACAAAAACGCGCGCGCGCACGCACACACACACACACACACACACACACACACACACACACTATGCAAACAAAACCAGCCAATTAAGAAATGAAGACCTTTCAAAAATCACTTAGAGACTATTATTTTAATAAATATAAATGTATACAAAATTATTAAATTAAAAACGCGCGCGCGCACGCACACACACACACACACACACACACACTATGCAAACAAAACCAGCCAATTAAGAAATGAAGACCTTTGCTGTAATATTACTATTATTAGCTATTATTAACTTTAAAATATTTTTACTTCTATCAAAAATCACTTAGAGACTATTATTTTAATAAATATAAATGTATACAAAAATATTAAATTATATAAAACATAAAACATTCCTATCTAAAATATATACTTTCCTAATATTATTTCATATAATAGCCTATCGAAATATTATATTCAGTTTAAATAAAATAAATAAATAAATACTTTGATTCTATAGTTAGATAATATATCAAAGTTGCATTTATTAATACCGCCACATTACTCGGATCAAGTTGTTTCAATCTGTCAACCTTGCAGCCGATGCTTTTAATTACGCAATTTTAACACCGGCTGCAAATAATGAACGGTAATTATCCTCATCAGACGTCCAAAGTTAAACTTTGGTATGAAGCGCGTGCGATAAGTATAACGTTTGGAAAATAAACGGTGCGGATGTTTTAGAGTGAACCTACAATCGTGCGTCCTGCTCGACCGGTTTCTTTGGAGCAGACCTACATTTAGGCGCTGTGTTCACATCTGAACGCAAGACGCAGGCTGTATGTGCGCTCCATCTGGCTGTCAGTTTTAATCTGGTCTGAATGAAGTCAATCCCTTCACCGCCCATCCTGTGATCACCTAACAGTCTGGGTTCCAACTGTAAACAATCTCACCCCAAAACACATTTGAACATGCTATGCATGCCATTTGGATGTTATTATTGCTTTTCAGGTTAATTATGATAAATGATAATATAATGAAATGGTGACCCTATGTTATACACAAGCTTTTGTATCATGTAGCATTCATGTAGCATTCAAAAGAAAAAAATATATATAAAAAAAGCACACAGACTAAATCCTGAAGAACTGTGGCAACATCTCCAAAATGCTTGAAGAAACCTTCCTGCAAAGCTACAGTACTGTGAAAAGTTTTAGGCACTTGAGCAAAAATGCTGTAAAGTGAGGATGCGTTCAGAAATATTGTCATAAATGTATTTTATTTATCAATTATCTTCCGGATTAGTCGGTCTCATTTTTTTCTGATTCTTCATGCCATTTCAGACAGACTGGATGTTGATGAGATCAGATCTCTTTGTGCAGCACAACTGATATTTCCTACTGACACACTACAGCAAGAGATAGAAATAACTGACTTAAAACCATTTTTTGGGGGGAAAATACTAGTGGCCTAAGACTTATGCACAATAATGTGTGTGTAAATAATATATATATATATATATATTACACACACACACACATATATATATATATATATATATACCTTTTATAGGGAGAATCAAGTGCATCATTTGAGACATGGCCATAGCAAAGGACTTGTGACTGCCTATTAAACAGGGAACATTCTTAGAACGTTCTGGCAAGGTTCTCTAAAATACTGTATGAACAAACGTACTTCCAGTAATATGGAATGTTCGTCGTGTCTGAAAATGTACTGTTTACATACATTACACAAACTAATATTAACAATAGCATATGAATACATATTTTAAAATAAAAACAATGTTTAAAATCAGTATATATATATATATAAAAAGTAATCAAACATCATTGTGAAACATAACTTGTTCTATTAAACGCTGACGATGCAAATAAAACAAGCAAGTGTGAATAAAAGTTGTATGATCTTCCGAAAAGAAAAACACCTCAAAAGTATTTGATCAAGTTAAATTGAATTCCACTACTTCTCTGTTCACCATAAAGTGTTCCACAGTAGAACTAGCAAAACATTTCCGTACATAGCTTACTGCTGTTGAGATGTAAAGTATGTGTTTGGCCCACTCTCAAAGAGAACCTGGTGAAATATATAAAAACCGTCACAGCAGCGCACATGCATCACCCATGAAGTGTTGCTCTGCTGTCCATTTTTGGGACATGAAAGATGTGTTCCATATGTCACATGCACCCTTAGTGGGAACGTTTTTAATGATCTGTTGGTCTGACCTTTAGTGAGGAAACCAGAGCAGCTTGATCTGTGACCCTGAAGATCATACAGGCCACAACTATCACATCCTGAGACATCAAATTTATTTGATGGCAAGGTCTTAAACCCAACTCTGATTTAAACTTTAGTAACCAGTCAAAACAAATACTGATAATGACCATTTGATACAAAGTTTAACTGCTAAGTCAGAGAAAAAAAACAAAACCCTGAAAATAAAACATTTCGATTTATCAGTAATAAATGGGGCGGCTCAAAAGACTGAAAGTAAACCTAACAACCGACAACCATTTTAGCCAAGAAACACAGTGGGTTCTTAAACTTTTTGACTTGAAGGCCTCACACTGTTCAACAAGCTATTCAAAGACCCCTTCTATAAACTATATATGATTTCCTCCTGTATTTTCTGTTGTAATTATGACAAATCTTGTTTGTTTAAAAAATAAACTATTTTTGTGATTCCAGACTAGAAGTGTAAACTGATGTTAACGTAATAAAACAATAGTTAATAATAATAACAAAAAATAATTTAACATTTAGATTTTTTTTGCATTTCAATTATTTTAATATAAATGAATTTATCACATTTTAAGTCATCTTATGGCACCCTGGTTGAGAACCACTGATATAGAGGATGATGAAATTCTTTCAATCGCTTAATTTAGGGAATTTAAGAGCAAGAGAGAATGGTTGGAAAACGTGGAAAAAAAGTTATCCATATTTGAATATATGCGTAAATATATACAGAAAATAAAATATGGGCAGGCCATGTTAGACTACACTATTCTATTAATGGATTTTGTGTAATTTGCAATACTATTTGTAATATTTATTTATAGATTTTATTATTTTTTACATATTTATACATTTATGTTATACTTTACACACGCATATATATTTATATTTAAGCATGCATTTAAAATTTAAGTATGGATAAAAATGTCATTTAAAACAACAAGGGTTAGAATGGTTAGTAAAAATATTTATATTAAATATTTGTTAATATATTAACATTTATATACATTTCATTATACATTATAATAAAAAATAGCTAAACAAATTACATTAAAAGAATAGTGGTCAAATCTATCATCAAACATAGCACCTACTTGCTTATTTTACTTACCTAATCTGTAACGAAATTTTGGCTACAGCAAAATAGCAATTTTCCTGTAGTGGACAGTTACTGTCAGGAAGCAGTAAGTTCAAGTCACATGCAACATTTTTTCCCCATCCGATCTGCAGGTGTAGCCTAATGTTCCTAACGCTGTCGCTCTATGCCAGGATCTGTTACAGCTTCCTCTACTGACAGCATAAGAAAACATGAAAGACGTTCTGATTGACACGATTAGTTTTTCAGTGAATTTCAAAAAATAAAGTGCTAGAAATTTTCACTTATCTTTTAGTCAGGGCCATTTCATCATTTACAAGACAAACACACTACAGTCCAGACATGAAGAACAAAAGTGTTTATTTTAGTGAACATCAGGATCAGAATAAATAAAGGGTGAGCATTTGTCAGGGTTGTTCTTCTTGTCTCTCATGCAGAGAATCCCTCCTGTCATTCCAGATTCACTCCTGGAGGGTTGTAACTTCAAAGTTTAAATACTAAAATTGCCCTATTCTCCCACTGATGTTTGGTGCCCAGCATGGGGTTGTAGTGCATTCTTTTGTAAACCTGTCTAAACAGACTTCCTCTCAGGGCCGAGCGCTGCAGAACATGGCAGCTCCTCAGCTGACCACTGACAAACACAAATACTTTATGTCCAACCAGAGGCTTTGGTCAAATGATCCCTTAAATATTTACAACTACTAACAACGAAACTTCAAATGGAAAAAAAAATAAAAAAGTATATATATATATATATATATATATATATATATATATAT